CCACCTCCCGCGGCGAGACGGATTGCGGCGGCGACGGCGGCAGGTGAACGCAGCCGGGGCGACGGCCCCGGCGCGGCGCCCCCGACGGCGGCACCTCCGCAGCGGAGAGACGGCCTCGAACGCGAGGGCGCTCAGGGGCGCAGCGGCCAAGCCCTCCCCCGGCGGCGCGAGCTCCCCCATTCGGGGCCGCAGCACCATCTCCGACAGGGCGCGCGCCCGCCGCTGGCCCCTTCGCGCCGGGCACGAGGCGCCTGGCGGGGGCCGAAAGCGCCAACGAGGGCTGCAGTTCGGGCGGCGGCTGGCGGCGCCACGGCACGGCGGCGCCACGACGCGCCCGTCGGCCGCGGGCGGCGCCCCAGCCACGCGCGCGGGTGTCGATCCCGCAGACCGACGGCGCAGATCCTCGGCGTGGCCCACAGGCAACGGACTGCCGAGCCCGGAAGGAGACCTGGCCGCCGCCCTGGCCGCAGCCACCATGGCGCAGGGTCGCCCCGCGGGCAGGCTGAGGTCAGACTCGCAGCTGGCCTCGTCAACGGCACTACGGCCCTCGCAGCCCTCGCGGCGGCCCAGCCTCGACAAGCCATGATGGGGGGGCCCGATGGGAGGGGGGCCGACGGGGCGGCCCCTGGCGGGGTCGTCGGCGCGACGCACGTCGGCGGGGCGCGCAAACCCCAGGCACAGCCCCCAATAACGCGCGACAGCGCAGTGCAGAGGGGGCGCGATTCCAAGTGCCACCGTAGCCTCGAAGCACTGGGATGCGAGCATCAGACAGCCGAACACGACAGCACTTGCGAAAGCTCCCATGCATCCTATTCTCCAACATTCCGATATGGCGAAAGACCCTGAACTTCTATTTGCACGATCGGCGAAAGCTCAGTGCTTCGGACAGCTCGTCGACCCAGCGCGGCGCGACGGGGGGCTCGAGAGAGGTGGGCGCTAGATCGCGGCGCGCCCAGGCGAGCTCGCGGCCTGGCGGGGCGCCTCGGCACCGGACTGCAGGCCGCCCCCCGCCGCGCAGCGCGGCGCGCCAGCCACCGCGCCCCGACCCGCGCCAAAACTCAGCGGACAGTTGCGCGCCGAGCGCGGACGACTCCACCCCACAGCTGAAGGGCGCGTCCGTCACGAACACCTCGTGGCAGCGAGCTGCCCCGCTGCCAGCAGCGGCCGCGATGGCCAGACAGGCGCAGGGGGGGCGCTCGCCACGCACCGAGCGCGGCAGCTCACGCTCGGACCCGCCCTCGGTGGCGAGGCGCGACAAGAACGCAGGGGACGCGGGCAAACAAGGACAGCAGAGCGCGACAGCACAAAAGAACCTGCCCCCAACATCCAACAAGCGACGCCAAGAGGGCGCGCGTTCAGTAGCCGATGTAGATCTGAATACGAGTAAGTCACATAGCGCCGCCGCGCGAACAAGCTGAGCACAGACAATCCCGATCCGACCCTCTATCTCGGCGCCCACCGCAACCTCACGAGTCGCGCTGCGAGCGCGCCCCAGGGCGCTGCACCGAGCCTACTCGAAGATGCCCGCGATCGCGCGCCGCGAAGACCTCGCGGCCACGACGACTGGGATCGCCGGGGCTGGGAGCGGGGCCATGGATAGACAAACGCTGGAAGCCCGCGCCATCGATATTCCGCATCTCGGCACGGGGGCCCATCGGGAAAGACGAGCGGCACACAGCTTGCTCACGGGGGCGGAGGGCCCCGAAGCAGCGCAACACACCATCGAGCGCTGCGCCAGCAATGCGCACTGCCGCGCTGTCGCCCATGGCCAGAGAACTCAGACATGAGGCGGCATTCAGACCTTCAAGCTCGGGCCACCAGGCGCGACAGGCCTGGGAGCGACCCCCATGGAGGCGCACGCGGACTACGCTCAGCTTTGCGCGAGCGGGAGGGGCGCGGATCGGGCAGCAAAGCTCCTAGAAGTCATCGCAAGAGACAGCCAGCCATTCCCCCATATGAAGCGACCAGAAGCGAAATCGCTACTGTCGCTACCTCGGCGGGGTCAAGAAGAGACCTCTGCGCCTGCGAACACGGCCAGTTGGGCCCAGCCAACACTTCACCGCACTCGCGCACACGGGGCACCCTCGCATTCAACCGTCGCCTCTCCATGAAAGCGACTTACGCGGCACGGGTTCCACCCGGCAAACCTCGGGCGGGAACAGAATGACCCGCCGATAAAGGCCAGCCTCGCCACGCGCGTCGCTCTCGCCTCCCTGCCCAGCGCGCGGCGACCACGCTGAACACCCCGATGGAAATGCTCGCCACTCATAGGTCACCATCGCCCACTGCGCAATCAGCCTCCGCCTTCGCTTTCGGGGTGGGGCGCCCAGCGGCTTTATCTCGAATTAAGCTTCGCCTCCGCCAGCTGCACGTCGGCCGCCGTTTCCTCGCGCGCCCCGTCGGCCGCGAAGGTCCGCAGAGCGAGGCTGCCCACTGTTCCCTTCGGTTGTAGCCGGAGAACTTGTCTGCATTCTCATAGCTAGGACTGTTGGGACATTCGCGCGAGCCTCCAGGATGGCCCGTCAACCCCCGCCAGGACGCTCGAGGCAGGCGATGGAGGCCGCGTCCAGCTGGTCATAGACGATAGCCGGTTCAAAGACCTCAGCCATGACCCGCATCTCGCGGATAGAGCGACCGTTATCCGCCCAGCCCGCTGTCTCGCGGCGGCGTTCCATTCGCGGCGCAGGGACCGCAGCCAACTGAGCGAAAGAGTCCATCCGACATCCGACATTACGCGGACCATCGAGCGGCCAGTCGGGGATAAAAAAAACAACAACACAAAAAAACGACCAACTCCTTCACCGCCTCGACCCAGACACGCTTTCGTCGCCATGGCCCTTTGTTTTTCACCACCGACGTTCTCACATCATCCTCCCCGCCACGTCTGTCCTCGTCGGTCTGCTCGATCGGGCCCAAACGAAGCCCCGCCACAGCTCCCTTAGGAGCGGCCGTGGAAGTGGGAGGCGACTCACATCTGTCAGCCTCAGGTGCGTCGATTCCCGCCACGATACCCATGGGGAGAAGCCGGCCTCGATCCGAAGGGTATCGTTCAAAGTCCACTGTCCAGAACAAACTCCAACGCACCGATCACACCCCCAAAATTGGCCAGACTTCGATTTCCGAACCAGCTTAAAAAATGAAGGAACTTGGACTTCTTGTCCAACTCGCGCCACCTCCCCGTCACAGTCGAACATTGGCTCCGGAACGACCCAGCACGGGCCGTCGGGCAACTCGGGCGACCCAGGAACGGCGTCGCCCTTGTCCGACGGACCTGCCGCGGGGAAAGGAAGACCGAGACCAGCCGCACCTGCATCGTCGCGTGAATCTCCTGGCCCATCGGGGCGGGAAGGAGCTCGCAGGGCTCGAGCCACACCATCATGACCCTGCAGTCGTGAATGACGCACCTCCGTCAGGCCCCCGGACTCGATGAGCGCCTTGGCCTCGTCACGAAGCTCCGAGAACCTGTCCCACGCCACCGCCTCCGAATGACGGTGCGAAGGACGCGGGGCACGTCTGGGACCAATCCATCGAAGTATCGACACAACGTTGATGGGACCTCGACCGCCTGCGGTGTCCATCTCCTCTGGGCACACATCATAGAAAGGCGTGGATAATATGACCTGGACCTTCATTCCCAGGTCGGACCTCACCTCCCTGAGAAAAAAAACGTGCCCGTGGTCGTCGCACTCATACCAGACCCAACCATACACTCCTGGAGTCTCTTCGATGGCGGTTGACATCACTGTTCGTTCGTACCCAACCCGCGGGTACATGCTCCTGCTTTCGCTGAGAGCGTCACAGCCTGGTAGCAACAACACCGGTCGAAACTCCCAGTGCGGCCCCGGTGAGTCCGTTGAGGATCCAGTCGTTGTCCTGCCACAAAATTCTCTCTTCACGACTTACGTGGACGAAGCCCACGTGCAACTCACAGACGAGCTCTCGACGCTCAGAGAACGTGGGACCAGTGCAGTCGGGACAGTCTGGCACGATAGGCGCCTCTGGACAGTCGCAGACACAGTCTGGGCAGCGTGAAGGAGAATGTACAACGAAGGACACGACTCTCTGGTGTTGGCGGCAGCCACAACACCCAGGCCAACCGCAGGCCTCGTGCGTTCGAGCCGAAGAGCTGCAGCGTGCGAGCGGATCACTATTGTTACCACTACCAGGAGCTCGCTGGGGGCCCTCTTGGGCCGTCTTGGTGCGCCCCAGGGGCGCCAGGGAGCGCCTGATTGCGGGACCTTTCTGGCAGGCGGCGCTCCTGGCACTGTCGAGAAGATGGCTACGGCTGGCCCGTGCACTGCTGTCCACGCAGTCCGCTCGAACTGGCATGCGATGTGATGGTGGAAATCTGCTCGAACTGGCACGCGATGTGATGTGGGACTCAAACTGGCACGAAATCTGTTCGAACCAGCCCGATACCGCGGCCCACGCATCTAGAAACGAACAAGGAATCAGCAGGGAGGAGCGAGGAGAAGCGGGCGAGGAGAGAGGGAAAGAGGCAGCAGCGGGGCTCTCTGGAGTATTCTTGAAGCCCTCGTAGAACTGCGTGTACTATTAGGTCGGGCATGTCCCCTCACAGGCGGATTTTGGACGAAACTAAGAAGTAGTCAAAGAATACAAAAAATGGTCAACACACATCAAATTTCCAAGGCTATTCTTTGACTATTTGTGAAGATTCCCCCTGTAGAAGGGCATACCCGCCTTAAGTGTACTGGCAGAAGGGAGATCTAAGAAAGGAGGAGGAGTGGGCCTGCAGCCGAGAGGCTGGAGCGAAGGACCGTAGGCACCGCGGGGCCCGAGGGCCCACGCGTTGCACCGGCGATTCCCACACGCCAGCAGTTTTTCGTCGTCGTCTTCGTTTTTGTCGTCGTCGTCGTCTCGTCCCTCCTCCCTCCTCCCTCCTCCCTCCTCCCTCCTCCCTGCAGTGCAAGATAGATAGAGAGAGAGAGATGACGGTGGGCTGCAATTTCGCCTCCCACATCTCGCTGAGCAACACCAGAGCCCGCTGCCACTGATCGCACTTCTCGCACGCGCTGATCCCCGCGCTGTAGCTAACCATCGGGGATGGGCAGAGCCCCCTTTAGTAAAACGTGGTTTAGTGCAAACGACCTCGAGCCCAAACCTGGTGGGCGCAAGCCTGGAAAATGGCAATTAATTCACTGATCGACGTGTCCGGGTCTGGGTTTTGTCCAACCCCGACACTAGCGTGAACCCGTGGATCAAATCCACGATGTGCGGAACCTGGGACTCGCACACCGTGGATCAGTCCGCAAAACATCTCGCCGAGGCCGAAGAGCTCGTCGAAGCTCCGGAGCTCCAGTAAGCGTCCAAGAGGGTCCCCAGCCACACAGAAAAATTCAACAGAACAGCGTGTCCCACCAGAACGTGGTTTCTGAAAATCCTGATAAATTTGATGCCCTTTTGGGCCCCACAGGGATCCCTAGCCTGTGTTGGAGCCCTCTTCGCTCCTCCTGCGTGCTCTCTGTGAGCCTCTCCGGTGCTCCTCTGGTGCTCCAAGAAATGCCCAAGAGAGCGCCCGAATACAATCGACAGTGATCAGCACAACACATGCAACCAGGAAGCGGATTCTGTCCTGCAAGCCTCTCCGACGCTCGAGACACATCCAAGAGACCCCAAAAATGAACAAACGCTTGACAGAACACCTTGTCCAATCCGACAGCGGATCTTTGTGGAGCCCTCGTCGTGGCTTCCTCGGGGCCTGTCTGGGGCATCTGAGGACCATCTCGGACCATGTAGGACGTCTCTTGAGCCGTCATGGGGGGCCTCTTGGGCCCTCTTGGACCCTGTTGGGGCCATGTTGGGGGTCTAAGCCGTCTTGCAGCCCGCTTGGGGTTCTCGTGGGCAGCTCATGGGGCTGTTTTGGGAGGCACTTGGGGCTCGGTTGGGCCGTCATGAGGCTCTCTTGGAACGTCTTCGCGCGATCTTTGGTCGTCTTGGGGCTCTCTTCGAAGCTTCTTGGGTCGTGTTGAGGCGATCTGGGAAGGCCCTGGAGCCGTCTGGGACTGCTCTGAGCCCAATCCGCAAGTGTGCCACTGTGTCACGAAGTGGTGTGTCCCCAGGTTCCTTGCTCAACTCCTAAGCCTCAGTCCTCAATCATGAGGGTTCTGTAAGAGGTCCGGACCCCAAGCTCTCAACTCTTCTTGGGCTCCTGGCGTACCTCCTTGGGCCCGTCACGTCTTTCCGCACGACTTTCACCGGCCCCGAGACAGGCCAAGAGGGCCCACAGAGGCCGCCCAGACGGTCCACGACGGCCCCGAGTCGCCGCAGGATCGGTCCAATACACCCAAGATGGACCCAGGACGGCGCAATTCGAGGCGCCCGAAGAGAGCCCCAAGAGCCTTCCCAACAGGGCCCCGAGAGACCAAAATCAGTTTGTAGGGTCCTCTACTTTTCTAGCTTCCGACGCTCCAAGATGGTCGAAGAGGCCCCAAGACCGACCGCCCCAAGACGGCCCCAGAAGCCCCCAAGGACCCCGAGACGGCCCAAGGGGCCCCAAGACACGGCCCCAGAGGCGCCCAAGACGGCCAGAAGGGCCCCAAGCCAGCCCCAAGAAGGGCCCAAGAGGGGGAACACGAAAATCCAAATCTTCTGCCCCAAGGCCCTAAGGAAGCCCCAAGAGGCCCCAAGAGAAACCCAAGACGCCCCCAAGGCGACACAAGAGGCCTCAAAACTGCCACCAAGAGATCTCAAAATGGCCTCCAAGTGGTCCCAGAGAGAGCCCCAAGACGGCCCAAAAGGCCCCAAAGACGCCCGGGAGGCGCCAAAGACGGCCCAGGAAGGCCCCAAGGCATCCCCAAGAAGGGCCCAAGAGGGGGAGCACGAACCGAAAATCAAAGTCTTCCGCCCCAAGAAGCCCCCAGAAGGTCCCAAGGAGGCCCCAAGAGGCTCCATGAGGCCCCAGGAGGCCCCCAAGAGGCCTCGAAGACGCCCCAAACACAAACCAAAAATCCGAGTCACCCACCCCAAAAGCCCCCAAAAAGGCCCCAAGGAAACCCCAAGAGGCCCCGAAGAGGCCCCAAAGAGGCTTCAAAACGGCCCCAAAGAGGTTTCACAACGGCCCCCAAGAGGCCCCCGAGAGGCCTCCAACGACATCCCAACGAACATCCTAGAGGCCTACGAACCACAACCCAGGCACGGTGGTGGGATGGGCCGAAGGCCGTGACACTTGTTTGCCACGGGGACGGAAAGCGTAATATCGTTTGCTCCGCGTTTTGGAGCCATCTTGGTGCATCTTGGTGCTCAGAATTTGGCACGGCATCTAAAAAATAACTGTTAATATTGCCAAAACCCATGAATATGGCCTCTGGCCTTCCTGGCGGTTCTTTGGGAGTTCCTTTGGGCCGTTTTGGGGCCCTCTTGGGTCGTCATGGGGCCTTCTGGGGCAGTCTGGGGGACCTCTCGGGGCCCTCCGGGGCCCTCTTGGGAACTTCCTTCAGCCCTCCAGGAACTTCTGGGAGCCCTCATGGGCCTCCGTTGGGCCATCTTGGGGCTCTCTTGAACCGTCTGAAGACCCTCTTGCGCCGTCTTGGGGCCATCTTGGGGGACTTTTGTGTCGTCTTGGGGCAATTCTGGGGGCCTCTTGGGCCGACCAGAGAAGGAGATATGCTATGGATTAACGTTTGCCGCAAGGGAAAAAATACCCAGGCGAAGGACCAACCATATGCAGTTGTGAGTACCGCAATGGTGAGTATCTTCTTCGGTGGTGCCCACGAACCGTATGAGGGGCGTGCCGAAATGTGGCGGGGCACACAACACGAAAGAAAACGATTGGTCGAATTAGGAGAGACTGAGCGCGGGTGAATCTGAGCGCGACTGAGTCTAAGTGTGAAGGAGACTGCGCGCGGGCGAATATATTTGCACGAGTGCGATCATGGTTACGCCTCGTGTATATGTATATGAACGTGAATGGTTCGGGTACGCCTGTCTGTGCACTCGTGACACTGAGCGTGGCCGCCGCAGAAAGCTTCCGCGGGAACCCCGACGGCAACACCCGCACGACGCGACGCCCATGTCGTCACGCCCCTCACGAGGATCGCACCCGCTTCCTTCCCTTTTTTCTTCCCTCTTTGCCCGCGCACTCCGAAGTCCAAAACTGCGGGCGCAGCGCGGCGCGGAGTCCCCGCGACGCGCGCCGGTCGCCCCGGGAGGGTCCCAACGACGCGCGCGGGTCGTCCGCTGCGCGGAGCAAAGAGAGCTAGCTAGCTAGCTGGCTGGCTGATAGCGGGCAAGGCTCTGACCGCTGGGCAGAGCGACGCCGGGCGAGCGAAGGGCAGGGAAGAACGCAGCACGGAGTTCCCGCGACGCGCGCTGGTCACCCCGGGAAGGTCTCAGCGACGCGCGCGGGTCGCCCTCTGCGCGAGGCCAAACAATTAGTTGGGCAGTCGACAAAAGGCGCGGCTCGGGAGGGGGCGCTCCTGGGGGTGTGAGGGGTGTGCCGAAATTCGCGTGGGGGACGCATGCGGGCGGTGGCACTGGGGCCTTCGGTGGAGCTCCCTATGGGGACACGAAACGTGCGAGGGGTGTGCCGAAATATATGTGGGGGACGCATGCGGGCGGCGGCACTGGGGCTCTCGGTGGAGCTCCCTATGGAGCCACGAAACGTGTGAGGGGTGTTCCGAAATGGGTGTGGGGGGGGACGCATGCGGGCGGTGGCACTGGGGCCTTCGGTGGAGCTCCCCATGGGGCCACGAAACGTGTGAAGGGTGTGCTGAAATTGGCGTGGGGGACGCATTCGGGCGGTGGCACTGGGGCCTTCGGTCGAACCCCATATAGGGCCACGAAACGTGTGAGGGGGTGTGCCGACTTGTGTGTGTGTGGGGGGGGGGGGGGGGCGCATGCGGGCGGTGGCACTAGGGCCTTCGGTGGAGCTCCATATGGAGCCGCGAAACGTCTGAGGGGTGTGCCGAAATTGGTATGGGGGACGCATGCGGGCGGTGGCACTGGGGCCTTCGGTGGGAGTCCCTATGAGGCCACGAAACGTGTGAGGGGTGTGCCGAAATGGGTGTGGGGGACGCATGCGGGCGGTGGCACTGGGGCCTTCGGTGGAGCTCCCAATGGAGCCACGAAACGTGTAAGGGGTGTGTCGACATGGGCATGGGGGACGCATGCGGGCGGTGGCAGTGGGGCCTTCGGTGGAGTTCCTTATGGGGCCACGGAACGTGTGAGGGGTGTGCCCACATGGGTGATGATGTTGGTGATGGTGACGGTCGTGATGATGATGATGACGACGACGACGATGATGATGATGATGACAATGATGATGATGATGATGATGATGATGATGATGGTGATGATGATGGTGACGATGATGATTATTATGATGCTGATGATGATGACAAGAGAAGAAAGGAAGGGGGGAGAGGGGAGGAGGAGGAAGAGGAGGAGGAGGAGGAGGACGAGAGGAGGAGGACAGGAACGCGGGGCGACGTCTCTTCAAAACGAGGACCCAACACCACAGGATGGTTAGGAATTGTGCCTCTTCGGCGTCCTTTTGGGGGGCTCGTGGAGCCCCTTGAGGGCCTGATTGCCCGACTTGAGACCATCTTGGGTCCTTTTTTCGAGCACTCTCGGGCAGTCGTAGAATCCACTTGGGCATCCCTGAGGGCGTTTTGGAAGTATCGTGGGCGCTATTGGGGTTGTCTTGGGGCTGTCTTGGGCCGATCGGGGACCTTCTGGGGTGCTCTTGAGGCTGACATGGGCCGTTTAGGGCCGAACATGGCCGAACATTGGGCGATTAGGCCTGCTTGGCGTGGGGACGAAAAGCGCGTTTACTTTGTGAGGGCGCGAGGTCGCTGGCGTGGTGTTTTGGAACCCTGTTGGTGCTGAAGCTTCGAAACGTGTCAGGGGTGTGCCAAATTGGGTGTGGGGGACACATGCGGGCGGTGGCACTGGGGCCGGTCGTGGAGTTTCCTATGGGGCTACGAAACGTGTGAGGGGTGTGCCAAATAGGGTGTGAGGGACGCATGCGGGCGGTGGCACTGGGGTTTTCGGTGGAGCGCCCTATGGGGCTACGAAACGTGTGAGGAGTGTG